CTGGTGTGGGCCCGAGAACACACATGCTCAGATCCGTCCTCCAGATCAGCGCTTTTCAAACTACCTGGGGCGAAGCCCAGAAGATTCTAACAACCAATCTATTAGGGACCTGTAAAATATGATCAAATTAATTTTATTAGAAATTTAGAAATGCAAAAAGTACAAAATGCAAGCCCAATTTTTTTTTTTTAATCAGATTCAAAAGACACAAACTGTTCTGTGGAACTGCTGTTAACTTTTAAAATGGCTTGTTCTTTGTTTCTGTCCTTACCTCACTTGGACAGGTAACACAGCCTCACACCGCTCTGGGGAGAGCACTCTGGCTTCATTTTAAAGTTTTCAGATCACTTCCTGCTTACAACACTTCATTGTCTAAATTAACTGAGACTTACCAGCTTGTCTTGCCCACCACATGGTCCATACTACCATTCCCTCCATTTGTTCCTTCACTCGTTCTTTCTATCAGTTATTGGATCCATGCAAATACTGACTGAGTGCCTAGGCTACGCCAAGCCCAGGCCAGAGGTGCGCACAGGACAGGCAAAGCCCATGGTTCAGATCTTCTCCCACACCTGCATGCAAGCCAAACCATCTCTCAAATACCTGCTTAGCTTTGCTGACTCCACACCTTTGTCACTCACCACGTGTCTGAATCCCAGACATTTTTCTTAGCTCTGTTCAATTGTCGTCTACTCCATCAAGGATAATCATCACCAGCTATCATTAATAATGATCAGCTATCTCATTAATCTGGCCCCTGCCACGGTCCAGATGTTTGCTAGACACCTTACATACGGTATTCCTAATTTCCCCAACAACCCTGCCAATCTTTATACCTCTCTTTAAAATTTTATTGAAGCTATGACATACATTTAGAGGAGCACATGAATTTGTACAGCTCAGTGGATATTCAGAAACTCAATACACCCATGTAACCTGCACCCAGATCAAGCAGAATATATCAGCACATTGAAGAACCCCCGCGCCCGTTCCAGTTACTACCCCTCCCCATTCCTAAGCGTAGCCACTATCCTGACTTCTGTGTGGCTTAGTTTACCCTCTTTTTATTCTTTAACTAAATGGAATCTAGAAGGTGTTACTCTTGCAATTGGCTTCGCTCACTCAGCATTGTTTGGGAGATTCGCTGTATTGCTCATTTTCATTTCTGTATCGTATTCCATCATGTAACTCTATCACTGTTCATTTATTCATTGTACCGTAGACGGGCATTTGAGAGATTTCCGTGGCTGCTGTGAACATGTAGTCCATGTCTTCTGGTGAACTTATGGATGCATTTTTGCTAAACTAATAACTAGGAGTAGAGCTGTGGGGGCCCAGGCTTTGCACATGTCCAGGGTCAGTAGATACTCTGAATCTTTTTAAAGGGCACTTTTAATATTCCACATTATTTTAATTTTATTTGTGAATGTACTTCCTTTTCCTTACTAGATGATAAGTGGTTTTTCAATTGAATAAATACTGTTTATGCCTTGCCCCATTTTAAAAGGAGGGGTCTAACATACAATACAAGATAGAAAGCTGAAGTGACAAAGCAGATAAAAAAACGAAGGTCAGGGCCGGCCGAGTGGCACGTTGGTTAAGAGCTGGCTTGGGACACCAGAGGGCCCCAGTTCGGATTCCACATATGAGGGCCAGTGACACTGACCTCTACAGCTAAGATGCTGAACAACAGCTCAACCTGGAGCTGGGCGCCGGTGATGGTGTGGGCTGTAGCCCCTGTGGCAGTGGGTTGCCATGGGCTACCGTGTGGCCAGCAGCCGCAGTGAGCGGCCATCCAGAAGCCAGTGACTGATTGCCTCGCCTGGGAAGAGCACAATGATGGTGCTAACTTGGGCCAGTGAAGCAACGTCCTCCACAACTAGACTGAAGAACAAAAGGACAGCAACTTGTCTGTTCCCCTTCCCCAATTCCCCAACGTTGTTCCCTCCCCCTATTCCCCAATAAAATCTTAAAAAAACAAAACAAAACGAAGGTCAGGGGGAAAAGGATGAAGTAAATACAATGGCCTAAATACATTCCACAAAGTCTTAGGTACTTTCTAAAATGCTGGACAAGAAATGTGGTTGAGCTTCCTATCAGCCAATACAAAAAGGGAAAAAAGTGACATAAATCATTTTTCTCTGAGTAAATGTACCAACTGTTCAGCAGTGTGGCTATTTCTGGTTCTGAGACTTAAAAAATGTCAACCCAAGTCTTCCTTAAACAGGATTATTTTTTGACATCAACAATAAAGGATCCAACTTCATTTCAGTAACAACAGTAAGAAATATTATCAGTTTCTCCCCTTTCCTTATAATCTCCTGCAATATGGACACGCCAAAGCAGTTCTCTACAAATATTCTTTGAGGAAACTAATGCAATCAGATACACATTCCTCAAAAGGTCTGACTAAATCCAGGTGGGAAAAACCCTGACACAATGTGTGGTCCAAGAAACTCTAGGGGTCTCCGAGACCTTTTCAGGGGCTCAGCACTGTCAATACTATTTCTACAATACTAAAGCTAGAGCTTTTTTGCCTTTTTTACTCTTACTTTCTTATGAGTGTGTACAGTGGAGTTTTCCAGAGGCCACATGACAAGATCAAATGCAGAAGGTGATGTTGGAATCTAGCTGTCTTCTATTACGCCGAGCACTAAAAATATTCGCAAAAAGTATTTTTGTCTTAGAAAATATTTTTCATGCAAAAATATCATACTAACCTAGTGGTTTTGTTACTGATATTCTTAAATTAATTAATAAATATTCTAAAAAATTGTTTTAGTTCCTAACACAGTATCTATAGCTATAATCCACATAAAGAGAATCACTTTGGAGTTCTCAAAACATTTTAAGAGCATTAAAGCTTCCTGAGACCAAGAAGTTTGGAGAGCTACCGGTCTAAAGGAAGATTTCCCCAAAAGAATATTGTTGGTCACTAGTCCCAGAAGATAAGCCATGAAAAATATTTTGCGATCAAATGCATTTGGGAAGTGTTATGCCTCTCTTGAAAATCATCAAATTAGAAGCAAACAAACCTAATGTTAACTCTGTGTTTCCTTAGTGTATTTGACTGAGATCCTCTCTTTTGAATGCTTTCCTGGTGGCACACCTGGGATCAATAAACTGCAAGGCCCTCCATCAGTCCTCATCAGTAGCATCTCTTACAACCCAGCTTTTGTCATGTGTGGGCAGCAGAAGCTGACGTTACACCTCTGACAATGTGAAGTGACCCTTCTATAAACATCAAGGCAATGAAGCAGAACAGAGGGCCCCTGTATCTCTGCAAAGTTCAGGGTCAAGCCCGGGACAAAGATCCCACTCAGGAGACTAAACTGCGTCTGTTCCATCTGACAGACAGGCTGTGGAAGCCCCAGAGCTCCCCTTGACGACACTCAGACACAGTCCTTTCAGCCTGGCTATCTTCCAAAGCAGATGGTACACACGCTTGCCTCAGTCGTAAAGAAATCTCAATTAAGCACCCACAAGACATCTGACTTTAAGTTACACAACTTCTTGGTGCTCCTCCAAGGAAAATAGTGGTCAAATGTACCCCGCATGAATCAACTTCTTTTATTGGGTTGTTAACGATCAGTCAATTAAATGTTAGGGAATGCCTACCAAAAGTGATGACTTTGGTTTTGGAACAATCCTATTTCTTTTTGACAGTAATTACATAACTGTGCCAGTTGTCTGTTAAGCAAACTCCCAGTTCACAATAAAATATAGTCATCAGGCAGCCCATCTAAAGAAGTACAGTTCCCAGAGAAGAAAAAGCTAAGGGAGTTCGCCACCACCAAACCAGGTTATAAGAAATGTTAAAGGGACTTCTTTAAGAAGGAAAAAAAGATAAAAAAATATGAAATGCCAATAACTACATATCTATCAACAATTACTTTCAATGTAAATGGATGAAATGCTCCAATCAAAAGACAGGGTGGCGGAATGATTAAGAAAACAAGACCTTTACATATGCTGCTATAAGAGACTCAAGATAGAAAGACACACAGACTGAAAGGGATGGAAAAAAATTACTTCATGAAAATGGAAACAAAAAAAGCTGAGGTAGCAATACTTATACGAGACAAAATGGACTTTAAAACAAAGGCTATAACAAGACACAAAGAAGGACCCAGTAATTCCACTTCTGGTTATTTATCCGAAGAAACTCAAAACACTACTTCAAAAAGACATACGCATCCATATGTTCACTGCAGCATTATTTACAATAGCCAAGATATGGAAGCAACCTAAGTGACCATCAATATGGATAAATAAGTGGTACATACATACAATGGAATATTACTCTGCCGTAAAAAAGAATGAAATCTTGCCATCTGCAACAACATGGATGGACCTAGAGGGTATTATGCTAAGTGAAATAAGCCATGCTGAAAAAGAAAAATACCACATGATTTCACTTATATGTGGAATCTAAAAAACAAAATAAATGAACAAACAAAACAGAAACAAACTCATAGATACAGAGAACATTTCGATGGTTGCCAGATGGAAAAGGGGTTAGGGGGATGGGTGAAAAAGGGGGATAAAAAAGTACAAATTGGTAGTTACAAAATAGTCATGGGATGTAAAGTACAGCATAGGGAATATCGTCAATAATATTGTAATTATATGTATAGTGCCAGGTGGGTACTAGACTTATCGGGGTGATCACTTTGTAAGGTATATAAATGTCTAATCACTCTGTTGTACACCTGAAACTAACATAATATTGTACGTCAACTGTAATTGAAAAATAAAAAATTAGGGGCTAGGAGAGAGAAGTAGGTATTCTCAAGCTCATCTTTGCAGCACCTACCTGGTAGAGAATTGCATTCGATAAATGTTTGTCTCAACAAATTTGCTATTTACCTTTAAAATTTTTCCTTGTATATAACACCACACAATCAAATATCTAGTCAAATGTAGTCTGATCAAATAGTACTTCTTGGTATAATTTAATGACTTTATAAGAAAGGATTTACAAAAAACTTACACTGTTGTGAAGTAAAAAGAAATCATTTTAATATACACATTTTCACTTCTGTTCATTCGACATTGATTTCTACTATGCATGCATTCCCATTTAGTTGGACTTGCTTCACATTTATTTATTTTCCAAGATGCAGCAATCTTCGACAAGATAGTTCAGCTAAACCATTATTCTTAAAGACTACAAATGAACCTTGTCCTCGAAGCGTTTTATGAACTTTTAACATTTTCAACGAGCCCTACGAGGCTGCTCAGCATGGTGGTTTTTCACTGAAATTTCCAATTTGGAAGATGGCAAAACAAGACTAGGATCTTCCCAAGTGTCCTGGTTGCTTACATTCGTATCACAGCACAGTTGGGTAAGTAATAGAGACTGAATAGTGAGAAAATCTCCAAACACAGCTGGGTGAGACTGCTTCATTTTTAGACAGTACTCCGAATCATTATAACCTTCCTAATGGTGATTTATTCCAGGGCGCTTTTGATACTTATGAAGGGAAATGCTAATCCTTGTGCCCGTGCTCAGCGCTCTTGTTTACGGCGGTAGAGTTTCCTTCTCCAGCCACTGTTCAATAGCGACCTGAGGTATTGGACTTGCTGCAGACTCGGAAGCATGACGACGTCTACTTTCACAACCTGAGTTGGCGACAGCCTTCTCATTTCCTGCCAAATGGATCAGACCACACTTTCAACCCTACAGAAAGAAACATGAATAAAAACAGGATTTGTTTTTAAACTTCCTACCACTTCCCTTAACCACCAACAAACAAAATGACATCGGCATTGAGCTGTGCCGTTGACGTGCAGTCTGATAGTGGGGGCAGGCTGTCGGAGCCCCGGAATGCAACGGCTGAAGCCACGGCAGCCAGGGGGAACTTTTAAATGGCTCAGAAATTGCCCCACAGCAAGAAGATATGTATCTGGCCTAGTTAAAATCCAACTCAATAAAAAAGAATCTTGCCACAGATTACAAGAGTTTGGGTTAATAAGCTGGAAACCTCTCATTCTCAGCCAACTTGGATCATCTCAACGTAACTACTAACCATCCAGCCATAAAGGGAACTTTTGAGCTTTTGTATAAAGCAGAATCCCGCATCAATTAAAAGAGCTCACAAGTAAACAGTATTTTCCCACAAGGGTAGTTTTTAAATAGGTGCTTGTAAATAAGTCTGCAAAACAGCTCTTCACACTTCGTATTGCATTGCACATGTTCCATTTTTATGCCCACTTACCAAATGCAAACGAGGAACGTGCAAACTCGCAAAACGTATTCTGGAGTAAAATATTAAAATGAAATCTTCGGGTAGCACCTATAAAGTGGCAACTGTTGTGAAATAAATAGTACAATCACAATCTAGCCTCTAAACTGAAAAGACTTCTCCCATTGCGAAGCAGACACCCCCCAAAACACACACAACACAACAGTACAAATAAGGCTTTGTTTTGATTTTTAAGATTACCTGGTGGCTGTACGTCTTCTTGAACAATACCAGCTCGATTTACGGCTTGTTCTTTCTCTGAGAAACACAACAGAAATGACTCTTTAGCAAGGGGGGAGGGCAGTGGTGGTGGACATCTTTGTATTTACATGGGACAATGACAGGAGGCAACTAGAAACCAATCTATACATGAGTGCTATTACATTCAAAGACGCCATTACTCAAAGCTTTTAAGTTACAGAAGTTAGATCCTACAGCAAAAAGAATGGGTACTTGCAGTAAGAGAAAGAAAGCTGTGCTTCAGAAGAAAAGCTCCCAACTAAAATCTTTTCTCTGTGCACTCAGCATTTTTGAAAAGGCAACACAACAGAAAAAGAACAATTTTGAAAGAACTGGTGGGCGTGACATTAAGAGGGGAAGGCTGCTGAATTGAAGGGACAAGTACAATTAACAAGAAAATGATGTAGTTTACATGTCTAAAATGTATTCCACTGAAGGACGAGGCCCAGAGCTAAATATGCTATGTTTTCGATAGGAAATAGAGCAGAAAATTAATCTTTGGGTGGGTGGCTTTGGTTTGGGTAATTGAAGTCTCCCTAATTGATTGCAGGTGCTGTGCCAATTAAACAGTGTGTTTTAGCTACAGCAGCTTAGCGGGTCTCTTTGGAGATGTCCAACAGGCAAGGGCCAACAGAAATTGGGCATTTTATGTCTGTGGGCTTCAAGCATTCTGACACATCTTTCTAAGTGATTTAGAATAAACTCAAGGTCTGTGGAAACAAAGACTTATTATTTTAAGTATCTTAACAAATGGCGTCTTCAGGAGAAGGACTTGGAGCCAAAGGATGTTTACTACTAAATTACAGTAATTAAATATTGCAATCAGACCTTTGTTTTAATCAGGCTGACAGTGTTTCTTTAAATCCACATTTAGCTCTTATTTAATCTTAGGCCATTTTCTTTATTCTGGCCTCTGGATTCTCATAAAGTACACAAGCATAAAGTACAAGAAACAGGGTTTTGCCAAATCGAATATTCATTGAATTTGCTTCTCCGGCAAAGTGACAGAAAGTCAATCCTAAGTGACCTACCTGATAGTTTTATCAATGCTAAGTTTTGCTTTGGCAAATAAAACATTAAGCAATAGGGATTATGTGAATCTTGATATCCAATTCTAAGAGAGACAGGGAGAAGACAGAGCATAATGAAGCCATTACAGACCACGGCCCACTGGTTTCACTGGGTCCCTCTGAAAAAACACAGGTGAACTGCAACCAATACCCCCCTGGACCAAAGTATACCCAAGACTTCTTCCATCAAGAGTGATCGTGGAACCGCTAGGGTGTCAGGCTTTCTAAAATAACTCAACACAAAAGGCGATCTCATTTCCTGAGACGTTCAAGTCCTGGAGGACGGAGCCCTACAATACACTGTTAACATGGAAGTCTCAAAGTATGACTGTCTCAAACATGCTCTTAGGAAACACCAATCAATGAGACGACAATGTCACTGTGCCAGGGACACAAAGGTATAATTTTCTACACCTAAAAGGTCCGTTCTCCAATATTATGGGAGAGGGAAGAGATGAGTTTTTTAAAAAATAACTGTTTGCCAGAAAGCGCTCTAAGACCTAATCTTACAGATGTAAGAAAATTGGACATCCTGGTATCCTAAACATATTCCCCGAGAGGCAGGTACTGCAAAGCCCAAGAAGCCGGCAGGCTGCCAAACATCAAGGGAAGCTGACTTTTTGTGGCGAGGACAGAATACCTGTGTTTGAACCTAATGTAACGCAATGGAGAACCCAGTGAAAGAGAAAGGATCTGTCTTCACACTTTCTTGCTAATTGCTAATGATGTTGGAGAGAGGCTGAGGATTTATTTTAAATAGACCATAATCTCCTTATAATCCTTGTCCTTACGCAATCACATTTTTTTTTTTTTTGGCTTGGACAGGCAATTTGAACCAATTTGCTGAACCAGTTCCTACCAAGTGATAACTGGAATTAGCATCCTATCTACATCCCCTGGTTCTTTAATCCATTAATGTTTTATAAATACTCTAAGGCCAAAGCAGTCTTATATAAATTCATGAAATGACACAAAGACACTGTTTGTGAATGCGGAATATGCTAAAAGGAAAACAAAGTGGTCCCTCAGGATTTAGCAAGTGCATCTCGATGAGGCTGACAGTGAGGTTTCTATTTTGTTATCATTAGAGAAATAGCAAATGTCTCTAAACCTCAGGAAAAGGGCACCTCGGGGAAGTCAGGGGTGTAACTATGAACAAATTAGGATAAGCTAATTACTGACTTTTCAGTAGTGAGTGTGCTTCTATCAGGAGCGAAATGATGAAAACGCAAATATGCGACTGGGCCTGGAGTTTTGCAATGCTGGTTAGAAAAGTCCCCATTCCAGTATCTCAGCAAGCCCAACTCTGCCCCCTGGTGCTAAGGCAGTGGTGTGATTTGTAGTTTTAATTGAGGATCATTATCTCTAGTCAAAGGGCCAAGGTATATTATTAAACTGGTAGTGCATGCAGACCAGATTTTTGTATGGTAGTAAAAGAATCCAGCTAATATTATTAAGTCTTTAAAAACGAAAACGTATCTTTGTATTTATATCCATATTGTCCAGGTGTAGAAAATGACCTCAGGAACCCCCTTCCCTTCCAATCTCCTCCTGCCAATAAACAGTTAAAATAAAAGCAATTGGCAATCTCAGTAATTATACCAATGGCAACATTTGAGTATAGACTAGATATTAGATTATAGCATTGTTATCGATATTAAATTTCCTGGATTGGATAATTGTATTGTGATTATGTAAGAGAATGTCCTTGTTCTCGGGAAATACATGTTGAAGTGTTTAGGAACAAAAGCTGACAATGTCTCCACCTTACTCTTAAACAGTTGAGCGAGACAACAGTAATAGTTCTACTATATGTACATATAATTATATATGTATATATGTGTCTGAATATGTAGGTATGTAAAATGCAAAAACCACTTTACCAGTGCTCCCATTTGTGGCTGATGCCTAGACACGGACATCATCCAGATGTGCACCAGGGAGATCCCGAACCAGACACGCACTGTGGCGAGTGTGCACCAGCAGCTGAGGGGGACCAAATGGCCACGGGAGGCACTGGCTCCGCCCAATCCTGTAAACACTTGTTGTTACCTCAGCAGAGAGTCTAGTTGGATCCAGGAAGCTATGTAATGCCGGTTAGAAAATAGGGCTTTCGTCTGCCTGTGCATCTCATTTGGCTCCATGGTGAAAGGAATAAAAAGCATATTTTAAGCACCTGGCATGTGACGGGGAAAATGCCTTTCTGGTAAGAATCATTTCCACATCAACTGATTTCTTGTAACCCTATTCAGACTCTGTGCAATATACTTTAGCTGAGAGCAGCAAGACACAAACCGAGGGGTAGGAGAGGCCTCACAGCTCGGCCACGGAACCTTTCGTTTTGCTATGAAGCACTCTTTGCTCTCAGGTGAGATGGGGAGCCATTAAGCAGCAGATAAGGCTGGGGAGTTCGGGTCTCGAGTCCACCCAACAATTAACAAGCTAAATGACCTTGGACAAGTCACCTAAATGAGAGGACTTAAATGAGCACAGGATTTCTGGCAAAACTGATTTTTATGCTCCTGCACATCTCGTTAAAAATGAATGGATCACGGAAAATGATCTTATTCGGTCTCATTTCACAGGTGGGCCTAGAAACGCATGTTGTTTTTACAAGGCCAGACTCAGGATCACTGTCTAGTTTGAAGATAAGAAGACAGATTGGGTTTCCAGTTACAGCATCTGTACTCGCCCTGCACGTGGCTCGTCAGACAAGCCGGGCTGTGCCCACAGGGCGAGAGCCAAAGGCAACGTTTAGGATTCCCTCCAAAAGCACAATGGTCCCCACACTTCTGGTCAGGGGTCACCGACCACCAACGCCAACTGCCATCCCCCCAGTGAGCGCTCATGTCGGTGCCGAGGTATCACGTGGAGCGCTGACCTTGCACTTCACACAACGCTGAGTCAAGTCTGGCTGAGTTAGTGAAAGAGCTGAAGATCACACTGAACGTCCACATGAAATCCAGTGAGGCGGTCTCGTGACCGTGGCTCACCTGCTTTTAAAGCATGGCAGATCTCGTTGGCTTTCTTTTACCCAAACAGCCTTCCTCCTCCTTTCTGCTGCCTTGTGGCTTATTCCCGAGAGGCCCTGGAACCTACCTGTCTCCATGCCCAGCCTGGCCAGCATCAGTCAGGCTGGTCCAGCCGAACGGCCGCTGACCTGACACTTGAGCCCGACATGGCTTTGGCTCCTCCCTCGCCAGCCACTGGATCCACGTCTCAAGGGCTGAGTGTGTGCCCTGCCCTTCCCAAAACTGTGGGCTTCTCCTAGGTCTTCCCTAGGTCTTCCCAGAATCCTGGGGAACACAAATGTGGGAGGGATGGTCGGAAGAGGAAGTCCCAATAAGAGAGGCAAAGAGGAGCAGCTGAAAGGCAGGAGCCAAGGAGCCAAGCCAGGAAGACCGGACAAGGGGGCGGCCACAGAAGGCCAGCGAAGAGAGGGTTTCAAGGAGGGAGAGGCTGGCCAGTGGCTGTGCCTCTCACTCACAGGTGACTGGACTTCTACTGTAGGAAGAGAACAGAAGTCATCACCTGGAAGTGCCCACAACTTCCGGACATCAAACCTAATTTAGCTGCATCCACGCCTCCCGTCCTGAGCTGGCGGAGGAGGGATCCTGCCTTCTGTCCAAGGCCCTCTTCTCCATCTGAGCTCAAGGTCTCACGCCACCTCCCACTCTAGGGATGGTCTTCTCTCTCCAGCATCTTTCTTTGCCCAGAGACTCTCTTAGTTCTCCCATCTCTCGGCCAAAAACAAAACACTCCCTACACCCCTTGACCTGCTGCAAATACTCTGTCATTCTCCTCCCCATAGAGCCAAACATCTTTAGTCAACTGAATATACTATTTACTCTTCAGTCCACTGCGATCTGCTTGCTGCCCACTGCTAAACCACCCACAGCATTAACAAAATGACCTATGACCTTTACCTTTTCCTGACACATGTAATGGATATTTTCACTTCGTATCGTCCTGCCTCCAAGAAGCCTAACCCTGCTGATCACACCCCTTTTCATGAAGAGTTGTCTTCATGGGGCTTGTGACTATAGCCTCTCCCGGTTTTAATTCTCTCCCTCTGGCCACCCCTTCTTGGTCTCCGTGAGGGCCCCCCTTCCCCTGGCTGCTTGCTCTTCACAGTGTTCACCAGCATTCTTGTCCTAGGCCAGCTTGTCTCTTCCAGCCCGAGTGCTGCCTGGGAGCCCTTACCTCCAATGACTCTGATTTGCACCCAGTGCTGATGACACTGCATCTCTAGCTCCAGCTCAGATCCAGGATCTCAGCTCCAGACTGGCGTATCCCACTGCCTCTGGGAAACCTCCAAGAGCACATCCCAATACCTAAAACTCAGTACATCCCAAATGGAACTAGTTCGTCCTCTCGCCCCCAAACGGCTTCCTTTTTGTTTCTTAGTAAACGACAAAGACCACCATCTCTTCAGCTGCTGGAGCTAGGAAGTTGAGTGCTATTCATTCTCTCTCTCTCTCTCTCTCTCTCTCTCTCTCTCTCTCTCTCTTCTCTCTCTCCCCCCCCGTGCCCCCCACACACACACACACATACCTTTGGCTAATCAGTCACAAATCCCCATAGTTTACTTACTGAACACAGCTCCCAAATTCAGTACTTCTTCCCGTCCCATAATCACCACTCTGGTCCAGGCTACAGTCACCCCTCCCTATCCTCCCTCCTGTGGCCACAGGAAGGACGGCCTTCCTTTTTTTGTTTTTTTAGCTGAGCCATCCTGCCACCTGTTGGCAGCTCAGTGGCAGCTCAGCTCGGACTGGGAATCGAACTGGTGACCCTATTGCTCAGAGCTTGCACTCTTGAGTGAGCTCTTAACTAACAGAGCCACTCAGCAGGCCCAGTACGGCCTTCCTGTACGTGGCCCTCCTGCCTCCAGCAGTGACCCCTCTAGCCCCTCCTTCACATTACAGTGACTCTGTAAAGAGTGAATCTCATCACCTCGTTCTCTAGATTAAAATACTTCAATGATCCTCCACTGGCTGGACTCTGAGGACAGCAGAGAGGTACTGAAGTATTTTAATCAAGTGAGATAATCAAATTCAAGGAACAAATGGCATGACAATAGACTTTTCAACAGCCACAGCAGGAGACCTAGAGTTCTATACATTTTCTGACAAAATGAATGAATACTCCCAGTTATAAATTCTCACCAAAGAAATATTAACAGATGTATTTCAAAATGAAGAAAACTGAAACTAGAAAGGAGACGCAAAAAGGACTGCTGAGTAAAGAATGTGGGTAGAGAGAAACAACCAGTGACTGTATAAACATGGAGGTTTAGGGAGCAATAAACGCCAAGTAGGACTGAAGTTGTACCGAGGGTGCGAGGGACAGGCTGAGGCATTCGAGGGTCTTTGTATATTTCATAGGAGGGGAAAGATATTGACTAACTTTAAACAATCATCATAAAATAACAAAAATAGAATGGAAAACTTTCAAACGATGTAGTAGAGGGAGAAAAATAAAGAAGCCTTGAAGACAGAAAAGGAGAAAAAAGTACAGAAATAAAATAATAGAAAACACAAAATCTAATGGAGAAAACAAATGTAAATATATCAGTAAACATAATAAAGGAAAATGAACTCAATCCAACAGTTAGATGATCAGATTGGATTAAAAAAATCCAGTTTAGGGTGGTTTTAAGGCTTAAGGACAAACAAAGGCTGACTATAAGAGGATAGGAAAATACTAACCAAAAGAAAGCTGGTAACTGTATCAGATAAAATGGAGTGGGGGAAGAATATTTGAGATAAAGAAGACCCCTATATAATGATAATTGGAAACAATTCTCTAGAATATTCTTGATTGTGTGTACCTAATAACATGGAATCAAGATATTTAAATAACAGATTAAGAAGCTTGATCTGTAATCAACATATGTAGAACCTGTATCCAACAACCAGAGAATATACATCATTCCAAGCACATAAAAAACATTTGCAAAAATTGAACTCGTTTGTCCTCTTTTACCCCCAAAACCACATCCTGTACTAAGCCACAAAGCAAATCTTGACCAATATCAAAGAATCAAAATCATCTAATCCACATTTTTTTACTACAGATACAAATAAGGTAGAAATCGGCACTCAAAAATAACCAAAAAGACCACCGTGGCTGCTGGTAGAGAATGGGTAGTAGTTGGGGCATGGAAGAAACAGGGAGACCAGCTCAGTGTCCAAAGGTTGGGTGGGGGACACGGACTGGACAAAGGTGAAGTGACACAGATAGAAGTGCTCTGTCTTGTTCAGTCGGTCACATACACCGGCACCTAACACAGTGTCAGGTACATAGGAATTACTAAAATCCAGGTTTAAAAAAAAATGAAAAAGCAGCTAAATAAATGCTAGTTGGATGTGCTGGAATTAACTGAAGCTCTGTCCTCCCAGCACAATCATGGAACACCTCACCTGCCTGGACCCCAGTTTACTGCCAGCCCAGTGAGCCCTGGGTCTGCCCACCTGCTTAAAACTCCTTGTCTCACATCTCTGCCCTTGTGGCTCCTTGTTTTTTAAAATGTTTTTATGAGATGCCTAATATAAGCCAATACTAGGTATTTCCATACCTGTTCTCATTAAATACACCCCCAAATCTGTAAATTCAGTCCTATAAGCTGCACTGCTATCGACGAGGAAACAGGCCGAGCTCAGAGAAGTTAAGTGCTCACCTCAAGGTCCTGTCTACTAGACCCTTCTGCATTATCCCCTTTAGTGGCAGTGTGGTGCCAGGGTACAGTGAGTAAAGGCACTGGTTCAAATCCCAGATTTGCTGTGGGTCCTTGTGCAAGTTACTTAACTGTTCCATACCCCAGTTTGTCCACAAGAAAATGGGGGTGAAACTCGCATAGTAGTATTGCAAAGGGTTGCTATGAGAACTAAATGGGTTAATATGTATGAAGTGCTTGGAAAAGTGCCAGACATATAATAAGCTTTCAATAAATACTGTTTAGAATTATTTATCTGTTTAAAGAATCAGTTATAGGCCTGTCAAGTGGCTCAGTTGGTTAAGAGCTCGCTCAAGAGTACAATTTCTGAGCAACAGGGTCGCTGGTTCAATTCATGACCCAAGCTGAGCTGCTGCTGAGCTACCAACAGGTGGCAGGATAGCTCAGCTAAAAAACAAAAATAAGAAAATAAAGAATCAGTTATGACTCTCAGATGAGAGTTGGCCAAATTAATTAAAAGTGAACCCGAAAAGTGGACAGGCGTAGGCTGTCTTCCAGTTAAAATGCAGATATTGTGGCCACACTCACTATATGTTTGCTTAAAAGGCCTGATTTGTCTGTCTCAAGCGACTCAGACAACCATAGGTTCTAGAGAATCCCTATAAACTGTTGTTGGTATACACGGCACAAACCCACACCTTGACCATCTGATCTAGACCAGGATTTCTCAACTTTGCCACCATTCACATTTTGGGCTGGGTAGTGCTGTCATGTGCTGTGCATTGCAGAAAATCTAGCAGCATCTCTGACCTCTACCCACTACATGCAGGTAGCAAACTCACACCACCCCACCCCACCCCCAGTAGTGACATGCAAGAATGTCTCCAGATAGAACCAAATATCCCCTGGGGGACAAAACCATCACCAGTTGAGAGCCCCTGCTCTAGTCTTCAAAACTGAAACTTTTCTAGTGGGATCCCAAGCAGACCCCCTTGTCCCAACTTTAATTCTAGAGGCCATCATAAAATAGCCTGGGGCAGGGACCCAACAAGGAAAGATGATGGAGATAAGATGATACAGGGCTTCCTACTGCCGTTTACCACCCGTATACGGTGCATAGATTGGAAAGCAGAAGCAGAATTCGCAGAGGCCATTTAAATCTTGGCTGATGAAAAGAAGCTACAAGGAAATCTGAGTGTGTATTTAAAATGCTCTGCCTCAAGAAACCAAATGTTATAGCATTTGTAATGGGCAGAGCATTTACACGGAGCTTTCGCCTTCAAATCACCAAGCTTTCAGCCTCTGCTAATATTCTCAAGGGGCAGGGTTGGCCCTCTTCCATCTTCAAGATGATTCAGGTTTCCTGGAGAACAAAATGAGTCTCTAATGCCTAATATTTTCTCTCTGACAGATGGTTTCAGATGTATCAAAGTGCTAATCCTTGCTGAGGTATAAGTCTCAAGGAAGGAGAGTTTGGCTTTTAGAATGATAGGACTTGAATGATTAAGGAGGTAAATTACTCCCAGGATATTCACCATTGCCATGTGAGCAACCAGCTTAAAATGAAGACAGCGGAATCTGAAAAAAGATTTGAGAAAAGAGAGGAAAAACTCAAAACCCAGGTTAACAGTTTAGGTTTGAAACATTTTCGCCCAAAGACATCTCTGGGAGCGGAAACGAAGTTGCCAATAAAAACACCTTCAAGCTCAGGAAGATCAGAGTTCCACCGGCCTCCCCCCAACATCACCGCTCCCAGCGTCAGTGTGTGGAATCTGGAGGCAGACACCTGGGTTGGAGGATTGACCTTGAACTTCACTGGCTGTGACCTTGGGCATGTTATACAACCCCTCTGAGCCTCAGTTCCCTCACCTGTAAAACAGGTAACACCACCTACCTCAAAGGGAGGTGGTGGAAATTAAACGACCCAAGGTATGCCTAACCTGACACACGGTGAGCGTTCCGTGAGTTTTTAACTGTAAGTATTAACTAGTATTTAGTGTTGACCTGCTTTCCTTACAACTTTTGAATCTCACGGGAGGCTACACGGTTTTATTTTAGATATAGAAATAGTTATGTATAGATGAGGATGCTGAGGGTCCCAGAGATCGAGTCACTTGTCCACGGTCACAAAACTGCACCCAGCAGAATTCAAACCCGTGTCAGCCTGACTCCCGAGCCAAGATCTTTCCAAGTCCCCACGTGGAGAGGCCTGGGGGGGTGGGGGGGTTACTAGGGCTAGATCACCACGCTGGGTCAGAGGTAACTCACGGTACTCCTCCAGCCGCATTAGGGGCCGGAAGTAGATGGGGTAGAAGGCGGCGCCGATCAGGGAGATGAAGCCGCCGAAAATGAGCGCGGTCCGCAGGTTCCGGGACATGGCGCCGGCCAGGAACTGCCCTGACCTGCTGAGAGCCCTGCCCTCTCAGAATCCCGGCCCGCGCGGGCCAGGCCGTGACCCCGCTGCGAAGACGCCTAGCGGCTTTCGCTTCCGGGCCTTGGGGGCTGGGCTAGGGAGAGGGGCGGGGCGAGGTGCAGAGGGTGGAGCCAGAGGCGGGAACTGGGCACTGGGCGGAGCTGGGGCAGGGCGGGGGCGGGGCCTAGGACCCCGCGCACCGCCTTCCCTGCTGTCCCTCGCTGCGCGTTGCGACCACCGAGCTCGAGAGGTGGTTTGAGCGTGGGGCTTTTGTTGCACTGGATTTTGCGAACCCTGTTCTGCCCCCTGCCCTGACCTCTGCCTGGCTTCCACCTCAGCTGCTCCATCCACCACTGCTCTGACCTCTTTCGCCATCCCTCTTTTAGCAACCACCCTTTCCTGTTCTTCCCCCATTGATTTGATTTTGGCGATGGTCTACCACGAGCAGGATGCTCTGTAGCTCGCTGATTTAATCCTCATATTAGTCGGCCCATTTTACAGGTGAGGGAACCCCGGCTTGGCTGCCCGGCTTTGGACAAGTCACTTGGCCTCCCAGAGGGTGGTTTGAGAGGACTTAGAGACAAAGGGGCAAATCTTCTGGACCAGCGGTTCTCAACCTGTGGGTCGCGACCCCTTTAGGGGTCGAACGACCCTTTCACAGGGGTGGCCTAAGACCATCGGAAAACAAAAAGATATTTACATTACGATTCATAACAGTAGCCAAATTACAGTTATAGAGTAGCAACGAAAATAATTTTACGGTTGGGGGTCACCACAACATGAGGAACTGTATTAAGGGGTCGCGGCATTAGGAAGGTTGAGAACCGCTGTTCTGGACCATGACTAACTTAGGAGGAGTGCTGTTTTAACATCCAAGCTACAAGAAGACCTTTTCTGACTGTTTTTCCATCCCTCCTCTCTCCCTGTTCCCTTTATTGGATATCAGGGTTATGAATGAGGGTGGGTGACTAAATAAGTATCAGCTCAGGGCAGAGAGGCCATGGCCAGCCCCACTGATGGGAACTTGGGGACTCTGCCTTATTACCTGGGATGGGAGGCCACTGAAGACAGACATCTGCGTCCTCTTCCTATAGCTGCCATCCCCCATCCTTCTAGGTGGCCTGTGTCTGCTTATGATCTGCCAAGGGTGTACTGGGCCACTGAGACTAAGATTCTCCTCTCAATCCTTTACAGGTGAGAATGATACCAGCAGCTGGGGGCTGTGAAGCAGAGAGGATATTCATCTTGACCCCAGCAGCATTATTTAGTCCAGAAAAGATCTACGATCTTTCAGGAATGGTGTGGAGAGCACAGGTTTCCTCTTTCATTGGAGTTTTGTAGTTGAATCAAGCTACTATCTACCTCTGTGGTTCCAGAAACATATAAATCAGGTGTTTGATCTGTCAGCAGATTTATGAACTATCAGCTGTGCCCCAAACACCAGGCAAAGTGCTACGGTAGACACAAAGCTGAATAAGACTTGACCCTTGCTCTCCAGGATCCTGCCCCATGGATGATGAGACAGGACATATACATAAAAAGATAACAAATGACCCAGTGTTGCTGGTGAGTGATTTGGTCCTGCGGGCTACAGAAGTTTAGAGGAGGAAGACAGATGATTGTAGGGCGAGGCAGCTGCCTTGGGCACTTGCAGGAGCTTGTTAGGGTGAGGACAGAAGACTTCATAGCAAAGAGGGAATACAATGATGCATGCTTTATATTGCGTGATAAAAAAGTCCCCTGGTGTAATGCACATTTGTCATTTTAGCAACATTCTCTTTTCTTTATGGTAATAGTACCCCAGATATCTTTTGTCAAACCACTCCACTCTCATTCTCAATCCATGAGGTAAACCGGGGCGTCTCCCCTCACCCAAATCCTTACTTTTTTCCATCTTTGAGAGTTAAACATATAACTAACTTTGACCAAGCTCCTTTACCACAGGGGGTGATTGGCACGGGACCCAGGACTGATCATCCAATGCAGCTGCACCTTCTTGGCCACATGACCCAAGTTGAACCAACCATAATCCGTCCCAGCTGCTGGAAAGTTGGGTTTGAACCTGAGGGGATAAAACTCTGAAGCTGCTGGGGACCACCATTTAGAGACTGAGAATGAGGACAGCAGAAAGAGAGCTGAGAAATATAAAATCCAATGCTGACATTACATTTGAGTCCCTGAAGTCAGCTGTGCCTAAAATAGGATCTACCATGGACTTCTCAGTAACTATGACCCAATAAAGTCCCCTCTTCACTGAGGCCAGTTTGAGTCGGGTTCTGTCTTTTACAACAGAAGGAGTTCCAGGTGAAATCACCATGGATGTAATTTCATTTGCTTAACACTTCATGAGCTGCCAGCCAAGGATTACCCTGTTTTATAGATCATATTACTGAGAGGTAGAGACCTGAACTTTCTTAAGGTCACACACTGAACCAGGACTAGGGTTTAGCTGCCATGATTTCTTATCTGATGAGCTTCTCTATAACATCTTGCTGTCTCCATGAGCAAGCTTGGCAGAATGGCTGGCTGAACCCCATCCACAGAGCCTCTGAAAGCCAGTGTGGATTGTGCCAGGGAATGGGATGTCTTGATAAGGTACCAACAGTGCCAGTGTGGGGCATATGAGCCACCCTCCTCTCCAAGATGAGGTGGCAAGGAACTGGTAGTTTCACTGTCCCCTCATGCTGATCTAAAGGTTTTAACCTGACCAACAGGTAGGCTATAATCTGTTCAATTACAATAATCTATAAGAATGTCATAGGCCATCTATGCCATTTGCATAGCTTATTAGCATCATCACACCAAAAACTGGTTACTTATCACTTTCTTGCCACTGAGCCCTACCAAATACAAGTGTATCATTTTGATCCCAGTGTTCTCCCCATTTCTGAGAATCCCACTGACCTATAAATTCAATCAACAAATGCCTATTGTGTGCCTATTCTGGGCAAGTTACTGGACCTGTTGATTGGGAACATAAAAAGGAGGCAGTCACCATTTGTTCGTTATTCAACAAAGGTTCACTGAGCCAGGCACCATGTGCCAGTCATTTTTTCAGGTGCTGGTGGATGCAACAGACCAGGAGGGTCTGTTGTCCTCAGGTGTCTACAGTCTGGTGGAAGGATAAGATGTGGCAACAGATAGTGATTGTTTTTTGGCCACTCAGCCTCCCCTGATAATAGCTCCTGATTCCTTTCAGAGAGTAACCTCTCATCTTGGCATTCTTGGTTCAACTGTAAACTGAGGGGCCCTGTGTATTCCTATCAATGTTAATATCAAGGCTGTAGAACACATCCCCTGTGCCAATCAGCATCGCAGGTGTACCCATTCAGTACTCACCAACCCCCATGAATGGATCTCTCCATTTGCAGAGGCGGAAGCTAGGGCATGGCAAGAATGACAAGCTCAAGGTCACATGACTAGAAAGTAGCACAGCCAGGATTCAAATCCAGACACCTGCTCTTTCCGTCCATCTACACTGCCTTGCAAAGTCAGTGATCTAATGTTGTCTGAGTATGGGTACAGTTCCAACTTGGTCCAGTTGTTCTCTTTCTCCCAGAAAGAAGAATCATGAAGATGGTGACACAAGGACAGATCACACAGGTACAGCAGGTTTCTTTCATTGCTAATGTTCTGATGACATTTTTGTGTATCTCCCACTGGCCCTTAATGCGGGAGCTTCCATCGTAGTTCCCCCTTGTAGTCTGATTCTTGAGTAATCATTGTATTCTGCAAGCTCAGTATGCTTCCAATAAACTCCCTTTAGATTTAAGTTAGCGTCAGTTTTGGTTGCATGCACCAGATGCGGAAATTTCCACATGGCACAGACAAAGGGCTTGGGGCTTCATCGCTGTGCTAGTGTTTGTGACATCCAAAGGGAGTTTGGGGGGAAGGTATTTGTGCAAAGGGAGAAAGAGCTCAGGGCTGTAGGGAGGCAGGATGCACGTCAAATCTGTCAGGAGTCCTAGGGTGCATATTTTCATCTCAATCACTGAGAAAAAAATTGGCTTGGCTCCTATCCTGTACTTTCTCCCTCTTCCCTTGGATGTGAAGATTGAATGCTTGCAGGGAGCAGACCACCAGTAGTGTCTTGCAGGGGTTTCAGACAGACATCAAAGTTAATCCGCTTTCTGATCTACGCAAAATGGTGATGAGGGTTTCGTGGAACAGCAGCTCCACTAATTGTGGCACTGCAGCCCAGCTGATGTATTTTTAGAATATCGTGAATTCCCAAGACATATCAGTACTTTCTGTGGGAAAAGTCACACTAGAAACTTGGGGTTTGGAATAGAGCAGGATCTAATGCAGGCGCCCCCAGACCCATACTTTTGAAAAGAAGAGACAAGTAGGAGAAATCCTTCCTTGTTTTTAACCAGGTGCTCTGACTCTCTAAGTACCTACTCATCTGTATAAGTATTTCCGGTGTAGAACATTTATCAAGTTTTTCTTCTTTGGTCTGCTGTTTACATCTAAGGGAGTTCCCCAGATGTCTGGCTTGGCTTATCTCTTGCCATACTATGCAGCCCACCATTTTAACTAATATCTGTATGGCTTCCAGAGCTAGGGGGCTAGGCCCAGGCTTTTTGCTGCACACCAGGCTCATGTCCCTGGTAGACATCTCAGGTACAAGGCCCACTTGTTCCTATTCCCTCCTCTTCACACTCACTGCCACTGGCTTGGTTGGAGGCTTCATCCGCTCTCCCTGGCCTTGGCTTCCACACGCCATCCTCTTCCATCATCGACTGTCTCATTTGTGGGATAACCAAGTGGTCTTCTGAAAACATAGATCTGGTCAATCACTACTCTTTTCAGAAGCTTTGGTGTCTCCCTAAAGTATGAATTAACTCAGCCTGGACCTCAGGCTTTGGTCAACGGGTCATTAAAGGCCACTTGGTGCATCCCTGTGCCTCTGCTGAGTGGAATAAGAGGTCTCTACATCTAGATGGCCGTGCTCTGTGCCTGCGCCTTCGCTGATTGAGTCAGCATGGACGTATGGCCCAGAACAAACTCAAAGGTCCAAAATCTCTGCCTAAAACGGGGAATGGGCTGACCCAGTGAGCTTCTCTGCCTCTGGAATTTCAGCTGGAAATTCA